AAAATTAATGACAAATTAACACTGATTGCATAAAGAGAAAACTAATAAAAAGTTTGTATTTTAATTTTGTCCCCCCACTTTTTAACTTTTTGCTTTTTCTATTTATATCTCATTACACTATCTGTATCTTGAAAAGTTGTTGTAGTTATTTTTTATTGGTTCATCTTTAGTCTTTCTACTTAAGATGTGAGTAGGTTACACACTACAATTATGGTATTATAATATAGTGTGTTTTTCTGTAACTTACTATTACCAGTGAGTTTTGTACCTTCCGATGATTTATTTTTGCTCATTCACATCCTTTTCTTTCAGACTAAGGAACTCCTTTAGGCATTTCTTGGAGGACATGTCTTGTGTTAATAAAATCCCTTAATTTTATTTGTCTGGGAAAAACTTTATTTCTCCTTTATGTTTGAAGGATAATTTCACTGGACATACTATTTTAGGATACAAGTTTTTCTTCTTCGGCACATTAAATATGTCATGCCACTTTCTCCTGATTTGCCAGGTTTCCACTGAGAAGTCTGCTGACAGATATATTGAAGCTCCATTGTATGTTATTCATTTCTTTTCTTTTACCACTTTCAGGATTTTTTGTTTGTCTTTGACTGTTAGGAGTTCAAATATTTAATGTGTTAAGGCAGTCTTATTTGAATTAAATCTACTAGGGGTACTATAACTTTCTTGTGCCTGAATATGGATATGTTTCTCTAGGTGTGGGAAGTTCTTTGTTATTATGCCTTTGAATAAACTTTCTTCCCCATCTCTTTCTCTACCTCTTCTTTAAAGTCAATAAGTCTTAGATTTGCCCTTTGGATATTATTTTCTAGAACATGTAGGCATGCTTCATTCTTTTCATTTATTTATTTATTTATTGAGACAGAGTCTCACCCTGTCACCCAGGCTGGAGTGCAATGGCGTGATCTCAGCTCACTGCAACCCCCGCCTCCCAGGCTCAAGTGAGTCTCCTGCCTCAGCCTCCAAGTAGCTGGGACTATAGATGTACATCACTAGGCACACCATCATGCCTGGCTAATTATTTTATAGATGCACACCACAATGCCTGGCTAATTTTTATTTTTTGTATTTTTAGTAGAGATGGGTTTTCACCATGTTGGCCTGGCTGGTCTTGAATTCCTGACCTCAAGTGATCTGCCTGCGTTGGCCTCCCAAAGTGCTGGGATTACAGGTGTGAGCCACCACGCCCAGCCCATTCTTTTGTATTCTTTTTTTCTGTCTCTCTGGGTTGTATAGTTTCAAACAGCCTGCCATCAAGATCACTACTCACTAATTATCCCTTCCACTTGATTGATTCTGCTGGTAAGAGACTCTGATGCATTCTTCAGTATGTATTCTTCATTGCATTTTTCAACTCCAGAATTTCTGCATGATTCTTTTTTAATTATTTGAATTTCTTTGTTAAATTTTCCTGATGGCATTCTGAATTCCTTCTCTATATTCAATTTCGTTGAGCTTCGTTAAAACAGCTATTTTGAATTCTCTGTATGAAAGATCACATATCTCTGTCCTTCTAGGATTAATTGCTGCCCCCTTATTTAGTTCATTTGGTGAGGTCATATTTTCCTAGATAGTCTTGATCCTTGTGGATGTCTTTCAGTGTCTGGTCTTTGAAGAACTGGGTATTTATTGTAGTCTTCAGAGTCTGGTTTTTTTTTTTTTTTTCAACTGTCCTTCTTGGGAAGGCTTTCCAGGTATTCAAAGGCACTTGGGTATTGTAATCTAAGTTTTCGGTCACTGTAGCCCTATCTGTATTAAGGAGCACCTCAACCCCAGTAACAATATGGATCCTGAAAATCTGATCCAACACCACCAAAGAAGTACCCCTTTGGTGGTGTTGGATCAGATCTGGAAGAATTGTCTGGATTACCAGGAAAAGACTCTTGTTGTCTTCCCTTACTTTCTCCCAAGCAAATGGAGTCACCTCTCTGTGCTGAGCTGACTAGAGCTAGAAGAAGGGTGACATAAATACCCCTGTTGACACTACTATTGGGACTGCACTGGGTCAGACCTCTCAGAAGGATGAGCTAATTTACATGAGTCAACATGTCCAGATATCAAAACTTACTCCTTTTAGAATAAAGCTTCTTCTAAAAAATAAAATATCAGAGAGGGAGGAAGAGCAAGATGGCCAAATAGAAGCCTACTGAAGCTAGCATGGCACTGAATCTCACCCAAGGCCTTTGGTTACCACCACCTGACTATTACCTATGCTTACCCAAAGGCCTAGGGCTCTATAATCATCAGGTGACAAAGCCACCATGACTTGTGTCCTTGCATTCAGAATGGTGACTGTGCTCCAGTACCAATCATGTCCAGAGATGTTGTTCAGAAGCCAGGGCCTTAAATCAGAAACCTTAGGAATCTACCTGGTGTTCTATTCTATTGTGGCTGAGCTGGCACCCAAGCCACAAGACTAAGTCCTTCACATTCTTCCCTTTCTTTTCTATAAGCACAGAGTTTCTCCCTGTGGCCACCCCTGCCCCAGGCCCATGGTGAATACTGCCTGGCTACCACTGATGTTCACTCAAGGCCCAAGGGCTCTTCACTCAGCTTACTGGTGAATGCTGTCAGCTGGGGACTCTCTCTTCAGGACAATGGGATCCCCTCTGGCCCAGGCTAGGTCCAGAAATGCCACTCAAGAACCAAGGCCCATAATGGGACTCCAAGAGTCTACTTGATACTCCACCTTACTGTGGCTGAGCTGATACCTAAGTTGAACAAAGCCCCTGTTACTCTTTTCTCCCCTTTTCTCAAGCAGAAGGAGTCTCTACCCATATCCATCACAGCTGGGAATGTGCTGGGTCTCACCTGAAGCCAGCATGTCTCTGAGTCTCACCCAAGGCCCATGACGAGTACTGCCCAGCTGCCACTGCTGACTGTTTAAGGCCCAAAGGCTCTTTTGTCAGCAGATGATGACTCCTAACCGGGACTGGATTATTCTCTTCAAGGGAGTGGATTCCATTTTGGCCCAGGATGTGTCTAGAGATGTCATCCTGGAATTAAGGTCTGGGATGGCCTCAGGACTCTGCCCAGTGCCCTATCTTACTGTGGCTGAGCTGGTATCCAAGTTGCAAGTAAAGTTCTCTTTACTCTTCCCTATCCTCCCCTAAAGTGGAAGGAAGAAGTGTCTCCCAGAGCTGCAAGCTGCACTGCCTGGGGTTGGGGGACAGATAGTGCAAGTACTCTCTTGGCTGTTCAAGCTGATGTCTCACTAGGTCACATGCCCCCCATGTTCACTGGTTCTGAGCAGTTCTCCTTTGCTATGGCTGGTCTAATTGCTCTCTCCATTGGCTTTGGCTGAGTTCTGCCTGGTGTTGCTGTCTGCTGTGACAGGGCAGAACTGAGTTCCAATGCAAAGTCTCACAATCACTGTGCTCTCCCTCTTCCAAACACACAGATTTTTTTCTCCATGCCACACATCTGCCACTGGGGGGACAAGGAGGGATAGTGTTGACAATTCAAGGCTGTCTTTTCTAGCCTCTTCAGTGCCTCTTTCAGCAATATGAAGTTAAAACCAGGTACTGTAATTGCTCATCTGATTTTTGATTCTTAGGAAGGTGCTTTTTTTATGTGGATAGTTGTTCAATTTGTTATTCTTGCTGGGAGGACCATCAGTGAAGGGCTTCTATTTGGCCATCTTGCTCTGTCTCCCTCTCTGACATTTTAATTTTTAGAAGAGACTTTATTCTAAAAGGAGTAAGTTTTGATATCTGGACAGTTGACTCGTGTAAATTATCTCATCCTTCTGAGAATGTTACTACAAATTTATTTTGTTTCAGTATTAAAGTTATCCAAAGAGCTATTTAAACACATGTCAAAATAGATTTCTCTCTACAACACTTTAAATTTTAGAATTTTTAAAATAGAAGTAGGGTCTTGATTTCACACTTATTTTATTATTTTAAAGTGTTATTAGTGAAGCACTATACTGTAGGATTTAAGGGAACTGGCTCTGGAGCTAGACGTTTTAGTCTCTCATCCCAGGTCTAGCCCACACAAGTTGTATAAACTAGGCCACAGAATCAGGGTATAGTCATGAGTATGGCAGACCTTTGTATTTCCATTCAGTCTATAAGCCAGTAAGTGTGTTTAAGAGCTAGACGCCTATTTCAGGGCAATCGCCACTACTACCTTATCTGGACTTTGATTTCTCCTGTTCCTGGAAGAGGAGATGGAGGAGAATGCAGATGAGATAGCTTAAGGAGAACTTGAATTCTCAGTAAACCGATACAAAGACTCACACAAGATCAGCTGATCCATGTCCAAGAGGAGCGAGCCCCATGAGGATCAGCAACACCTGTGAGAAGCAGCACTCTCTAGCGTAACATTATAGAGGATTTCTGTGCCAGCTACAAGTACCCGAGAAATCAAATACTAATGATACTCCCTCATGTAGGTACCAACCGAACACTTGCACTCTGGCCCCCACAATTCCTTGTGTATAAGCTCTAATTATCAAAACAATTGTGCCAATTTATCATTACCAACATATTTTCCCTGGCACTAATTCTTTAAGGCATTTACCATGTGAATTTACATGATAAATTGTATCACAAAGGACAGTGAGCATTATAAAGAACACAGTCTTCAACTATGAATAGTGATGTTTGAACGACCTCTGAAAAAGCTTTTCTCCACAACCACTGATCTTTCTCTCCCACAGAAAACCCTTCTCAAGTATATGCATAGCTCCTGTGAAATGTTTACCTTCTAGCAAAGCTGTGAATTCAATCCCATAGCTATAGCTGGTTTCAACTGGCCCATACCCAGAGAAGAGTGACACATGGTGAAGAGAATGAAAATGTAGGTGCTAGAAGAAGTAGCTTCCAGAAGAAAACAAAATTGTCCACATAATATCCATTGGGTTCTTTTATGGATAAAATATTGTAATTCTTCAGTGTGGTAGATGCTGGTATTTTAAGGAGGCAATTCTCGACTCAATATTTTAAAAAAGTTCTATTTCTCAAATCCATCCACAGTTGGAGTTACCTGTCTCTACTCATAGTGAGCTTGTTTTCACTTTTAGAGGACGTTCAATCTTTGGGCAAAGAAAGTTGAACCACTTGACTACACTCTCTGAGACAAATTAGATCTCAGAGATTTTGTGAAGAAAAGTGGTCCAATCAGACTGATTAAAGGCATAAGGATCTCTTTGCTTGGAAATGGATTCCACCCAAATAAACTAAAGAAGAAATCATAACTTCTCAATCTCTAAATGGAATGTAATTAGCTAGTTGTAATTATTGCCTTAGGAAAGACCTCCTAAATGAGGGACAGAGTGATGTAGTGGAAAAGAACATAACTTTTCAGCCTGGCCAACTTTGATTCAAATATTGGTTCTGTCATTTGTTAATTATGTGAACTTAGACAATCTACATGACCACTCTGAGTCTCAGTTGTTTCCTCTAAATATAGATAAGAACGCCTCATTATAGAGTATTGTAAAGACTCATGAGATATTATACACAAAGTGACTACTGCACTGCTGGGCTTACAATTGGAACTAAACTAAACATATCATCACTAATACTTTAAGTGTAAACCACAGTGATCCTGGCTTTTTAGGATCATCTATGGGAAAATCAATTTTATATATATTCATAAATTAATGAGAAATTTAAAATGGGCTACAATTTCTATAACATGTTTGTCATGAGAAATTGCTTCTTTAAAAAAAAAAAAAAGAATATTTTGACAGATAAAGAATACACCAAAACCACGACTGGAAAATAAGGGTTTAATTGTAGTTACCTGATTCAATGCTTATCTCCTTCCTGCTAGAATGTAAGCTTTATGAGGGCAGGAACTTTATCTGATTTACCAAAGTATTTCTAGAGACCAGAACTATTTTTGTCACATAGTCTCTACTCAATAAACTTTTGTTGACAAATGAGTGAATAAAAGAGTTGCCACTCAATACCCTAATAACCAGGATGATTTACAAAATAGTAGTGTGGGATGAGTGGCATGGCTTATGCCTATAATTCCCAACACTTTGGGAGGCTGAAGTGGGCAGACCCCTTGATCCCAAGAGTTTGAGACCAGCCTGGGCAACACAGCAAAACCCCATCTCTACTAAAAATATAAAACTCAGCCTGGCATAGTGGCACACACCTGTAGTCCTAGCTACTTCAGAGGCTGTGGTGGGAGAATTGCTTGAGCCCAGGAGGTTGAGGCTGCAGTGAGCTGAGACTGCACCACTGCATTCCAGACTGGGCAGCAGGGTGGGGCAGAAAAACAATAGTGGGGCAAGACAAACCAGATTCCAGCTGAGCCTCCACAAATATTCCTTAGACTTACCCAACTCTATCTGTACTAATTTCACATATCCCAAGAAACCTTGTGATGACTGTTTGGCTTTTTATAAGCCATACATGGAATCCTTTATAGAAAACTGAATGACAATTTCCATTGTTAGTAGAGCAGGTGATGTCTCTCTCCCAGTGCAAGTGCATCCATCTGACTTATTAATTAAATCCTTGTTTTTTATGAGTAGTCTCTGTAAATTAGTCTTTTTGAGTCTGAGCACAACAGAGTAATCCATAATCAAATTATACATAGTTCTCAACTTATTCAAGTTCACCATTTTCTTTACAGATTATCCGTTTCTGCAGTAAACTTCCCCAATATCTCTCTTTCATCCCTCAATGATACCAAATTATTTCAGGAAGGTTGTCTCTAATAAATTATTATTGTTCTTTATAAGAGGTTATTATCTTTACAATGGTATATTGTTGTGAACAAATCTCAATATTTGTACAAATTTTAGCTTATGTTGCAGTAAAATTGGCCACATTAAAATGATACTGTATTCTAAACAGCTTGCCGAATCCAAAATCAACAGGAAGTGTTATCCAACCTGTTCTTAAACATGTTTGTTCTAGGTATATAATGCTAGAACTTAACCAATGAAACTAGTATTATTTCCCATCATAGCACTGGTCAGGGTTACCTTTCAGTCACTGCAATACAAATTATGATTTTTTTCTCTATAGCTTCTGTCACTATTTTTTCTGGAGCTTATTTTATCATTCTCTTCAATATGTGCTAGGAGGTAATACTCTATTCCCTTAAAAAATTCTTCCCAAGTATTAGCTAGAAAATTTACCGGAGGCCTCTGTATATTCAGAATGTAGATAGAACCAGAAGTGAAGCCAAAAATTGAAAACAAGATTTTAAAAAACCTTTACAACTACTACAGGATTTGGAAACACCTTTCTTAGCATGCTTCTAAAAGAGTATTTCCTCTAAGTGAGTAAATACTTCTATGTGAGTAAATTTGAGTAATATCCAGAAATACACATTTCCTGTTTTTTAAGTGTCAGGGTATGCTAAGGAGAGAAGAAGGATGATTGGTGTCTAATTCACAGAGAGACTTAAGAGCTGTTACCAGTTGGATTGGTGACAATAGATAACATTAAGCAACTTTAAGGCCTTAATTCCCAAAGCATTGATACGCATGTTTCAAAATATAAAACATGAATCAAAAACATTTCTTAAATTTCAAATTCAATATTAGAATTGATAGAAATTTCAGATACTACACAGTTCAGTGCCTTCACTGTACAAATGGAAAAAAACTGAGGCATAGGGAAGTGAATCACTCAGAAAAACTAACGTAATTACTCAACTTGAAGCAGACTTCAAGCCTTTTCACTTCTAAATCCCTTTTCCAGAGGATTTTGTTGGATTTGTTTGTATCAACTGTGTGACTATCACCTGTATTTTCAGTGGCACTACAATGGCTCATCTACCGTGCATAAGATGGGGTCGGCTAATTCATCAAGGTATGTATTAGCCAGACTCTAAACATTATTATTAATTATGTGATAGCTGTTCTGTAATAATGCCACGATTGTGTTCCAGAGCAGATAGATTGAAAGACAATTATGTATTTACCCAGTTGTAGTGTTATATCCCTGGCAATATTAACCTAAAAATTGGAAAGGAAAGCTAACCATATAACTAATCTATAATGTGTTCTTGTGGCAATAATTCATTAAAATATGACCCTGTCTCTTACAACCTAAAAAAGATAAAAATTTAAAAAAACTTTGCTTGAGTTGCTTCCATCAAAAAAAGGCTTTCATAAATTTTTATATCACTTCTCTATTCTAAACCACTGCTACATTTCTTAATAGGCATTAAAGTGGATGTGATAGTTTTTGCTTCCTAAACCATACAAGGCAAGTTAGTTACACTAACAGTTGCTCAGGCTAAGAAATCTGGATTTTTAAAAAATCCTATCAAAGCTACTGAAAGATTTTAACTTCTAGTATGCTGCAATCAAATATGTGATTCAGAAGGATTACACTGGTACTATTATGGAGATAGAGATGACCAAGTTGACCAGACAACCAACTGTAAAAGCCTGAACTATGGCAAATGCAGCGGTGATAAAAATGAACAGATTTTAAGAATTTGGATATGTAATTAATGTAACTTAGTAATTGTGTGTGGAAGATAAGAAGAAGAAGCAATAATGTCCAAGCTCCTGGAATTGTGCTAAGTAGAAAAGAGGCTCAAAATAAAAACTAGACATGTATTATTCATGCAGAAAAAATGCTTATTAATGGTAAAGTGTATAAAGTGTCAGATATGGGAACAAATGAAAAGGAGGATAAAATCACATTGGAAAATAGGAAGAAGAAAATTGGGATGACAATTTTATGTGTCTACTTGAGTGAGCCACAGAATGCCCAGAAATTTGGCCAAACATTATTCTGAGTATGTCTGTAGAGTGTTTCTAGATGAGATTCACATTTGAATCAGTAGATGGAGTAAAACAGATTGCTCTTCCTAGTGTGGGTGGGCCTTATCCATCAATTGAAGACCTGAATACACAAAAAGGCTGAGCAAGAGGGAACTCCTTCTGTCTGGCTGCTATGAGCTTGGATATTGGTCTTTTTCAGCCTTCAGACTCAAACTGAAATATCAGCTCTTCTTGGGTCTTCAGCCTGCCAGCTTTCTGACTGGAATTTATACCATCAGCATCCCTGGTGTTTAGGCCTTCAGACTTGGACGGAAGCTACATAACAGCTTTCTTAGGTCTCTAGCTTGCAGACTGCAGACCTTGGGACTTACCAGCCTCCACAAACATGTGAGCCAATCTCTTACAATAAATCTCCTCCCTCTATTTATATGTATATACACACGCACACACACACACACACACACACACACATATCTATACACACACTTATATATGTGTATGTGTGTGTGCATATATAATTATGTATTTAGAAAAAAGGAAATTGGGATGGTTAATTTTATGTGTCCACTTGAGTGAGCCACAGGACGTGAGGTGTATGAGAGGCCATACACATATGTGTATATTTACAGATATATATGTGTGTGTATATGTGTGTAAATATATAGTATATGTACATACATGTATATATGTGTATATATGTAATATATTCCTTTCCTTCCTATATATGTACATACATATATATGTATGTATACATAATATATATAATTACATATATTATGTATACATATTATATATAATTACATATATTATGTATACATAATATATTGTATATAACTGCATATATTATGTATACATAATATATTGTATATAATTACATATTACATATAAACGTTATATATTACATATGTTACATTATATATTACACAGATAAACTATTATAATATATAACACCTATTGATTCAGTTTCTCTGAAGAACCATGAGTAATGCAGAAATAAGTAATAAAGAATGTAGTATGTCAAGTTTGCTAAGCCTTAAAGAAAGGGAGAGGGCTGTTTCAGACAAACAGAAAGTTACATAGGTAGCATATATTTTTAAAAGAACAAATACTGTAACACAACTTGCATCAGGTGAGATAAAGTAGGAGGTAAGCACAAAAAGGTAGATTGGAGGTACACAGGGAAAGATTTCTGATACATAACTAAAGAGCTCAGAGTTAATCTAAGAAAATTTACAACTACATGAAGGTTTTGTAATAAAAGACTTAAAATGAAATTTTAAAAACACATTAAAATACTCAAATATTTAAAGACATGAACATCTTTTTTCTATCTCTTTACAAAAAGCAAAAATATTTCCATTTATTTTAGCTTCCTTTCCCTGGAGTGCATGTAACTATCAGGCTTAGAGAGTCATTTAGGTCAGGAGCCCTAGGAATAGATTGTGTATGCCATGTTAAATAAAAACAGACAAAATTCTAGTACTTCTGCTTCTAGTCATGACAAAAGTCCAACTATATTGGGCTTACCCTTCTACCATAAACAATTACAAAACTGGGTGGAGGGGAACTATTAAACTATTTTCAAGCACTGGATAACAAATGGTGCAGGACTGTCTTGTATTAGAGAAAGGGAAAACATGAGATGAACCCCATGTTAACTCCAGCTCTCTACCTGGGGTCACTTTCCAGGGGTAGCATGGGAGGTAGAACCCAAATAGAGAATGGCAATTTTACAGAGAGGAGAAGGCACAGATCAGAGTTTTGGGCTGGTAAGGTAGCTAGAATTTGCATGGCAAAGTACTGAGGAAAGAAAGCTTCACAGAGTAAGGGAAGCAAGAAATCTTCACAGAGGTTGCCCTCAGGTCCTTGGCCAAAAGATGGGCTACTTTTGTTCAGGTAAGGATTCTGTAACACTCTTAAGAGAGCAACTGCAGCAGTGACAAATCCTTCAGGGTTCATCTGAATGGAGACATTGACTTGTGCTTGTAGATGTTAAAGTCCTAACCCAGCCAGAGTGAGAAAGCTGCACTGAACAACCCAAGCATTCAGTCAAGATGCTGGAATCACCATGCCTAGGAGGAAAAACCATGACCTAAAGTAATGGCCATGCCATGGAACTAAGGATAAAATTGAAATAAAGTATAAACCCATTCTAAAAAAAAATCAAAAGAAGCCACCAGTAGTTTAACCACTTGCCAGAATAAAGCTAAACACTCTTCAAAGACAAGCAACATACATAATACATACGATTCTACAACATACCATCCATAATGTCAAGCATATAGTCAAATATTACTAGACATGCAAAGTAGTGGGAAAAATGTGACCCATAGTCAAAAGTAAAAGAAGTTGATATAAACAAATCCCAACGTGATAAAGATGTTGGAATAAAGAGATAAAGACCTTAAAACTGGTTAGATAATAGATATAGATATATTATACATATATAGGTAGATATGTTATTATTTATATAGAGATATATGTAGAGATATAGACATAAACTTAGATAAAAATATAGAAATAATATACTCACAATGCTGAGTTGAGCAATCTCAGGAGACAAAGGAAAACTATAACGTAGGACCAAAAGAGAATTCTAGAACAACAACAAAAAAATACTTTTCTTGAATAAATTTACTAGATAGGCTGAACAGTAGACTAGACACTATAATAAGGGGCGAATGAATTTGAAAACATGTGAATATAAATTAACCAATCTGAAGACAAGGAAAAGAAAATGATTGAGAATAACAAGCAGAGTTCTGGTACCTCAGGAAGTTCAACTATTTGTGAAAATCCAGAAGAGGAAAAGAGAAGGAGGAGGAAAAAAAGTGGGAGAGAAAACAAGACAGAGAGAGAGAAAGAAGCAAAAAAAATTTCAAAATTCGAAATTTGTTCTAAAAATTACCCTCCAGATCCAAGAAATTTAGTAAACCCTAAACCACATAAATAGAAAACCTTGACTGAGTATATTATAATCAAATTGCTGAAAGATAATGGTCAAAAGAAAATATTAAAATTACCAAAAAAATCCCAACCATCCCATGAAGGGAAACAAAATGAAAGATGATGGACTCCTCATCAGAAAAATAAATACAGGCCAGGCAGGTGTGGTAGCTCACATCTGTAATCCCAGCACTTTGGGAGGCTGAGGCGGGCATATCACCTGAGTTCAAGGGTTCTAGACCAGCCTGGCCAACATGGTGAAACACCGTCTCTATTAAAAATAGAAAAATTAAGCAGGTGTGGTGGTGTGCACCTGTAATCCCAGCTACTCTAGAGGCTGAGGCACAAAAATGGCTTGAGCTTGGGTGGCAGAGGTCACAGTGAGCTGAGACTGCGTCACTGCACTCCAGCCTGGGTGACAGGGTGAGACTCTGTCTCAAGAAAAAAAAAAAATTACACACCAGAAGATCTTGAAACAACTGCTGTAAAGTACGGAAAGCTTTTAAAAAGTTAAGCAAGTATTCTACAGTCAGTGGAAATACTTCAAAAATGAGGATAAAATAAACATTTTAAATAAATGCATACTGAGCAAATATGTCACCGGTAAAAATAAATTGTTATTAAAAGTTCTTCAAACTGAAGTAAGATAGCAGATTGAAGCACAGATATGCAAGAAGAAAATAAGAAAACTAAAAGTGCTGAATATATGAGTATATATAAATAAACTATTTTTTTTCTTTTACAAATGTCATTAAAATGCAGCTTACTGGTCAAAGTATAAATAAAAGAAATTATATTGTAGAGTATAACATTGTAGGAGAAAAATATATAACAGCAATATCACAAAGGTGGAAAAGAGCAGAAATATAATTATAGTATTATAAATTTCTTACATTTTATATGAAATACTACAATGGTAACTCTAAGTAGGTAGTGATAAATTAAGAATACATATTTTAATCCCCATACAACTACTAAAAATAAATAAAGCAACATAGCTTCAAAAGCCAATAAAAGAGCAAGATGGCAAAACAAGAAGCCCAGAACCTCTTTCCCCTCATAGGACACCATTTAACAGCAGTTTAATGACAAATGTCTCTTGTTAGAAATGCATAAACCAGTTATAAGGCTCCTGAACCTCAGGCAAATGTGAAGCCAACTGCATTGAAGCCAATAAGAAAATTGTGTCACTCACACACCATAGTCCCTCCCACTGGCTCAGAGTTGTGCAATCCAGAAAAGCCTCCCAGTTCCTGGCTTCTCTCTGGGGAGGGAATGAGAAGACTAAAACAAAACTCAGACTTTTGGGGGGCTGCTCAAGGACCTAGTTTATCTCCTGTCTGAATCTAAGCACAGAAAAGAAAAAGTGCCAGGTTAGGGACTACTGAAAACAAAGGCAATGGTTTAGATTAACTAACACTCACCAAAATTCTATCCCTTCCCCTCTGGCTCAGTGCAGAGTAGGGGATGGGGGGGATGCTTCAACTCCTGGCTTACCCCTGGAGAGGGATAGAGTTAAAGTGTGTGTCCAACATTCTGACTTTTCAAGGAACTACACAAAGGATTAGATTCTGTCTTGCCAATCTTGGTGCATGGTTGGGAGGACCTGGGATACTCTCTGCACTTGCAAGGCATAGAGTACAAAATAGAGCTGGGCAGCTTGCTGCTGCTACTGATAACATACAACAGACAAAGGCCTATGCCATCTGGTGGTCGCTCCCTTGTGGTGATTGGTGATGCAAGGAGAGAAGAGTGGAATATGCCTCTAGTAGTCTGGCTTTTCAGGGGGCTTTCTGGAGGAAACTTTTTCTGTGTCTTCAGACTTAGGGCACTGATGTGTCCCAACATTCACTAGAAGCCTGGGAGCCACTGAGAACAAAAGAGAGCTGGTTTGTGTTCTTGTGGCAAAGAACACAAACAGACATCAGAGAGAGCAAGAGATTATGAAAAAACAAATTGGCAAATCTCTCTAATGAATTTATATGCACAAATCCAGAGAAGATGTATCCGTAGGAAAAGTTTGAGAAGCTCTCTAGAATCTCTAGCTGGGCTGATTGGTAAAGATCTTTTCCTGTACAAAGCCAGTCCATTAAAACTGATTGAAGTGGCTTTCTTTCAAATGAAGACATCCCAACACAAAGTTATAAGGCACATAATAAACAGAGAAACATGGCTCAATAAAAAGAACAAAATAAATCTTCAGAAACTGACCCCAAAGAAACAAAGGTATGTAGATTACCTGAAATAGATTTAAAAATAACTACTATAAAGATGCTCAGTGAGCTTAGAAAAAGCTTATTTATTTCAGGAAGAAAATGAGAATATCAACAAAAATAAAATATTTTTAAACGCCCAAAAAGTTTGGAACAAAAGAATACAAGAACCAAAGTGAAAAATTTTCTAGAGGGGTTCAACAGCATACTTGATCTAGCAGAACAAAG